AGAGGAAGCCAAACATATTCTTGAGGGAGGAAAAGTGGGAGAGCCGAATAGCCACTACTCCTTCAGCTGCACAGAGGCACGCCTGCAGTGTTGTGTAGTTCGGGGAGAGTAAGTAAGGCCATGGGCATAAGCTGAAACAAGCTACTTGAGTGGTCTTGTGCCTCTCCTCCACCCATGTTCCTTCTGTTCCTTCCACTCGGGAGCCCTGACAGAATCGAGGGCTTCATTCTACATTAACACTTGAAGGGCTTTCATATTCCAAGCTGCTTAAAGAATTGTGGGCCATGAATAATTTTACAGGAAACAGTCAATGTATATGTTCTTGTTTTGGTGTTTTACAAATCATGGTGGCATTGTCTCAGCAATGGACAGATAGATGATCAATGACAAGTTTCAGTGAAGTCATGTTACTAGTTCATTTGCAATGATTCCTACTTCTGATAATTTTCTGACATTAAAAGGCGTCTTTGCCTAGTTTAATAAAAAATATTAATGTAAAAACAATCATTCGTTTTCATTACCAGACATTCCAGTAGCTTAACTAGTATAGTTCTGGCTTGGTCTTGACTCAGATGAAAATACTTGAAAGGGTGTAAACAGATAGCCAAGTAGACCGACCTGTTTTTAATAGCGCCGTGCTAAATGTCCTCATTTTGGGGGAGAGATGTTTGAATGTTTGTTTGTGGGCATGAAGCTGCTTCCGCCTTCTCTTCAATATACATCTAAATCTTGTTGGCAAGACAGAAGAGACAACGAGAAAAACAGAAAATACACAACTAATGAGAGAGACAGACAACCACACATACACAGATCCACTGGAGATGCTGAAGTCTTGTTTGAGCTAAACAAAACAAAAACCTGATACCCATCCAGGAAAGTGGATTAGACGACATCTTAAAAAGACTTGAGTTTTACTATTTAACTATTGAACTGCACTCGTCAGTAGAGCACATGACTCTGGCCTCAGTTTTCCTGTTAGATGCTTTCTTGAAGTCCCTTTTTGCTTTGTGACTTACATTTCAGCTGAGGTTTTTCTGCCACACAATCCCAAAGGCTGATAGAACAAGATCAGAAGGAAACTTTGGGAGTCAAATTATCTAGTCTCAAATCCATTGCTGTGCGATTTTCTGTTAAGTTATTTAGCCTCTGTGCCTTAGTTTTCCCATCTGTAAAATGGGAACTCCATCAGTAGTGGTTAGAACATTTCTCACCTCAGGTAGTGAGAGGACCATTTCAGGAAATGTTACCCCATTTTCATTCTTTTATTGCTTGAATTCTTAGAAAACTATGCCATAAAACCAAGGCGGTGGTGATTAATGTTGATACAATCAGCTATCTTATTATTTCTGTAACTACACAAATTCAGAACATCTGGTATGCTGGAATCTGCCTTGAGTGGATACTGCCTATTTGACTAGATTACGGATGTATATCAAGGTTTGGATTTAAAGGGTACTAGCTTTATTACAGAACTGGCTTCTTGAGATCTTTCCAAAGTCTGCTATTGACAGTCGTAGATACACCAGCATCTCCATCCCTCACCACTATTGTAATTTTTTTTGTTCTGTGTTGTTGATATCTCATGATCCTGAAATTTATGATTCCTGAAACTTCACAGTCGCCAGGTCTGCTTCAAAACCATTTTCCTGTATGTTGCAGAAGCTACCATGTTCACGTCTAAATTTCCTCTGCGGATAAGGATACCAGTCATATTAGGTCAGAACCCACTAATGACCTCATTTTTACTTAATTATCTCTTTCAAAAGCTCGTCTTCAAACACAGTTACATTCTGAGGTGTAAGGGGTTAGGTCTCAACTTGTGCATTTTGAGGGGACATGACATGTAGACACATGAGGATCCTAATAGTCAAGTAATATCTTTTACTTTCAACTGAAAGAAGTTGATTGGCCATTTATAGTAAAGCTTATATTGTCTATATTGAGGAACTCAGAAGAGTTCATTTTTGTACCTTGGTTTTTGAATCTTTATAAGTAATAAAAAAAAACACTCTTTTTTAGCAAGTGTACAAAAGATCTTTTGTGATCAGGAAATTATTTTCTAATAGTATTTTGATGTTTTTATTCCCTACCTAATCCTAAAATGCCAGGGTGGGATGTAATTTGGAATATTATCACTCTTTTACCTCCAAATGCATAAATAGCCCTTCTGAAAACTGAAAGTGTCAGAGAGTAAGGAAACGGGAATCTTTTGAGAGAGTCAAGGTAATGCAGCAACACCTTCCACCCCTGGTGTAGGTTGGTTTGAATACATTTTTTAAATAGCAGTGCACTTTTATCCATAGATTTAGTATTTGTAAGTGTGACTTTTTCTAATCCCACATGTACTAGGTTTTTTAAGGAAGTAAATTATCCAGTAAAAAACGCACATTTTATGTCAGAGGTGGCTCTCTGAATTTTAAGAATTAACTGACCTCTTGTATTTTGGTTCTGCTTATATGTCTATGAAAATATCTTTATAATTGCCGCAGTTTTGCTTTATATATTTGCTCATCTCATCACCAATACTAAAAACTTATTGAATGGCCTAAATCTCAGTCACAGCCCAAGTGTAAATTTCTTAAATTTAACATCTGAGCATATAATTAAAGAAGTGTTTTTATTTGATTTTGCAAGAGTGGTCTTGTGAGCAGCAGTTATTTCTCCTAGCCAAGTTGACTTTTTTTTAATATTTTCCAGACTACATTTTTTAAGATTTATTTATTCATTATTTATTACGCATAGAACTGGGGTGTGGAGGGTGAGAGACTCTCTCATCCCCAGAGAGAGCAGAACAGAGGGATCTACTGAAACACACTGCTGAGGGGGGCAGTGGGTGAGACAGGAAAGGTCTGCTGTGCCCTGTGGGCCCCCTCCTGGCTGGGGATGGAACTGCAGTGACAGTGTTGAGACTTAACCCACAGGCCACCCAAATTGGAATGCTTAGGGCCTCAAGGAGGCCCCCAAGTTGGTTGATTATTTTTTTTAATATAAAAATGTAGTTTTGTGATTTTGTTGTGTCCTTTAGTTGTTTGTGTGTCAGGGAATATCTAAGATTAATCTGAAAATGTTGGTTACCCTCTTTCATGTGCTGTATCACCTACCACTTAGCAAGAAATAAAGCCATCAGTTCTATATACATAAAGACACACCCACCCCAGATACTAGGTAGACAAGCACCTGACTGGGACCCCACCCTGCCCTGCCCTGCTGCCTACATAGTTACAGAAGCTGTTTGGGTGTTTCTGCCTCCTGATCTTTATGCAGCAAAAAGGCAACAATGCCTGCTGTCATATACAATTATTTAGAGTTCCGATTCTAGAATTTCTGCACTAGCAGAAACAGAATGAGTGGAACTTGAGTATTACCAGAGAAGGAAAAAGCCTAGAGTAAATTGGATAGAGCCCAGCCCACAGCCACATACTTCCAAGGCAGAATCAATAGGGCCTTTTAGGAGTGGGGGAGGTGCCCTTGATCCTTGTCACTGTGACTGCTGGTTGGCACACGAAAGTTGCTTTTAGGAAAGACTTATTCTATCCTGGCCATTGGCGCTGGCTGGCTTTCTTTGGTAGGAAGCGGCATGTGCATAGACAAAAGATTTGAAATCGGTGACAACCTAAAAATAAGTTCTGTACTTAAATTATAAATAGGCTTATTTTTGCGAGTATAAGACATACACGATTTAAAATATGTACAAAATTTACTTGTATGCATTTTTAATAGAGAGAATTGTAAAGTTTAATATAGCTACAGCTGGTTATTCCACAATGTACGATGTGTCCAGACACATTGTCTACAAGTGGTTTTTATTTCAAATTTATAGACTGTAGCATTCCTTAGACAGAAATATCTATGTCTAAACTCTAAGGAAAGTTGGGTCTTAGAGAGTCTAATGGAAGGAATGAGCAGAGCATCTGGTTGAAATGATCTTGTCTTTCAGAGCTACTTAATGGATGATGACAGTGACAACTAACAGCTCATTTAGAAACTAAGTAGAGAATGAGTCTGTAGACTCCAGTATGTCCTGCTGAAAATCTGGCAGTCACATTTATGACCAGGAAAACAGTGCTACAAACAGCCTTTAAAAAAAAATTCTCAAGCCACCTAATTTATATATTGGGCAGAAATTGCCAGAGGAACTTATTTAATGTTTTGCCTATGATGGTTTTGTATTTTTATTACTAACTGCCCAGCAAACTGACTTCCTCCCCTAAATGGAGAATAGTTTAATGATTGATTCTCGGCCGAGTGAAACAAGTATTTATTGCTTCAGTGTTCCTCTTTTGACCCTGACCCTATTTGCCAGTTAGGTTTCAGCCACTCAAAAAGCCTTTCAGACTTGGTTCCTTAGAATACAAGGCAAAAAAATAATGTTTTATCAACAAAAATGTAAAGCTTATCTCTTAAAAAAAAAAAAAGGTTGCTGGGTTGTATACACCGTTGAGAAAACATGAACAAAAATGTGCATGTAACTCAGCATTTACTATTTGAAAATAAATGGGGAAAAGTAGAAGCTGGGGATGAATAATCAGCCTTACTGATAAAAGTTGAGATGGTGACAGGTTGGCTGATTAGCCCGAGATGTAGGGGTGAGGATTTCCCTTACATGATTTTGACAGTTTTGAAAGTTCACCTGTAATTCTGTATTTTTTTGAGAGCATGAGGAGGTGATTCAGGCAGTTGGGTTATCACCTATCCAGGTAAAGTCAGCCTCTTGTGACCGTCATAAGTTAGTCCCGCCCAGAGAGGCAGTGGGCATCTTAAAGTCAAAGAGATTTAGAAAGCCTTCACCTTTCCTGGGTGTAATTGTGCAAGAAAATTCAGATTTCTGGAAATATTTCTATCTTGCTTAGCTTCAAGTTGAAGAAGTGGCTGTTTTCTCCTTTCTTGTTGTATCAACCCACAGCTGTCTGGCCTCATCAGCTGACAGTTGACATTCATGGGATTTGCCAAATTATTTATAGTGTGAGCACAGAGACAATAAATTTCTTATTATTTTGCAGCCTTGGACACTTTTCCACCATGCTGACGGCCTTTTAGACATATTTGTCAGTCTTCCCAAATTTTAACTGAAGAAAACCCTAAGTGTTTGAAGATAAGTGTGACCTCCACCTACCAGGTCAGTATTGCTCCGATCCCCAAACTCACACCCAGGAATGTCACTGTCATTCCGGAACCTAAAGCAGTTTTACTAACTTTCATTTATATTTTAGACAAATATGGATTACAGTTATGTGTTGATGAGATTTAAATGCTAAATTTTAATATTTACAGAAAATGGTTTTTGAAATTGCATAGGTGTTAGGTTTGGGGTATTTTTCTTTTCACCAACATTTCACACCATATTTTATTTAATTATTCAGACCTTTTGTCTTTTGAATTATACAACTATATCCCATTTTCTCCTCTTGTGCCGTATTTGTTATTTACTGTATTCACTCACAATGTTGTAGATATAAAAACTAAAAGTGGTTTGTAGATGTAGAAGTTAACAGGAACATTGTTATTTATGTTATTGACAAAGACTGGAATTTTTTTTTTTTTTTTTTTTTTTTTTGCCTATGCCAGTCTGCTTTCTCATTAAAGTAACTCAGAAAGTTGTTTCAATTTTACTCTATTACAAGAATGTATTTCACAACAGATCAAGGATTCAGTTAGGGACCGTCTGTTAGATTTTTTTTGTATTTACCTCTTAGTTTTATTTAATTGGATTCTTTAACAAAACAGTTTCACTGGTAGAACCTTAGAATGGAACTGAGAAGGATGTTAGAATGTTAGAGTTTTTCTAATCTCTTATTTCACCTGTGCCAAAGCCATCGGGTAAATTTTTTTCTTAGGTCTTTTGGGTGGCAGAACTGAGACCGAAATTGTGCCCTCCTCACTCCCACCCTGTTACGTTGTTCTCATACTACACAGCTTGTTTCAGCCACAGTTTTAGATATCTAAATAAGATTATTTAAAGACTGTAAAATGCTGAACGAAAAAGAGCAGCATGCGAACATACCTTGTTCACTCTGCGCCTCCCTCCCTTCCCTGTGGGCTTGCTCAGCGCAGTGGGTGTCCGGGGCCCCTCCCGTGTGCCTCTGTTCCGCTTCACAGGTTGTGGGGGGCACAGAACCATAGGACTTCTCCTGCCTTGTAATCCCACTGAAAGAGATAAAAACATAAAACCGTCATAAAAGGGGGTAGGGTTACATCTCAGAAACTAGTAGTTTCTACTCAATATTTGCTCAAATTCCTCACCATTCTCCAGGCCAGGATGCTTTCAGCATTCTTCACTTGTGGGCCCTTCCCGCGAAAGGACAGCTGGAGGCCTGTCAGGTCACTGGTCTCTACGGCCCCAGTTTTTGTAATGCCTTTCTTAGAATTATTTTGGAAAATGGGAGAGGATGGTAGAACTAATATTTAAACCATGTTCAGCTTGTTTCTGGAACTTGGCAAGATGTCTTAGAACTCACTGTCCACTGCAGTTCTATGAGCAGAAACCATTCCCGTGGGCCTCCCTGGTGGCACAGGGGTTAAGTCTCAGCACTGTGAAGCTCTCTGCAGCCACTGCAGCACCAGTTCCATCCCTGGCCCCAGAGGTGACCCACCTGGTGCAGCAGACCTCTCCTGTCTGGCCCACTGCTCCCCTCGATGTATTTTATCTATCTGGCTGTTCTGCTCCCCACTCTGTCTCTGATGAATCCTCTCACCCCCCCCCCCCGTACCTCTGGCCTGTACCCCAGCTCTTACATGCATAAATAAATAATAATTTTTTATAAAGGTTTATTTATTTATGCATACAGTACTGGGGTACAGGCCAGAGGCTGTGAGAGGATTCACAAGAGATGGAGTGGGGAGCAGCAGGCAAGACAGGCGAGGTCTGCTGCGCCATGTGGGTCAGCTCCCGGGGGATCAAACACGCACTGAAGCTGCTACGGCTCGCTTACAGTGCTGCACCCTAACCTGAGGCACCACCAGGGAGGGCCAATAAATTTTTTTCAAAAAGAAAACAAACCATCCCTCAGAAAACCTACCCAAAGTCACATCCACTAAGAAGATGTCCCACCAACTATGCATCTTCAGCTCCATCTGCATCTGTCTCCAGTCTTCCTACTACAGTAGCTGTCTCGCTGCACCTATGACATCTATGACACACGCTCTTCCCCATACACCGTCTCGCATTGCGAATCAACGGTATCAGATTTGTTGTTTAGCTATTCTTAGGATAATGGCAATATCTCTCTAGTAGTGAAATGTGTATCACCTCCTGTGGCTAAAATTCTCTAGTTAGAAAGTCAGCAGTTAGAGCTGAAGTTGCATGTTGAATTATTTTACTATTTGGCAAAAGATTCGTACAGTACATCCTGAGCACAGTAACAGCAGAGTGCAGTGAACATTCTCTTCACCTGAAGGCAGTAGCTCTGGGAGGGATCAATGCCTCTTTTGTGCGCCTCCTAAAATTTAATGTGCTCACAGAGATGGAAATTACCGGTGGATGTGTGAACAGGCCGTGTGGCAAACTCACTTTAAAGAAAACTATATGAAAGCAGCAATTTGGAAGTAAAAAGTAGGAGAGGGAAAACAGTATTTGCTCTGTTTTGGAAGTCATAAAATGTATGTACCATACACGCTGGTCTCACTTCTATCAATGTGAGGTTTGTGAGAAATTAATCAATGGCGTTTGTGCCAAACCATATGCCATTTAACCTGTTTCAGAAGATATAAGATCTTCTAGAAAGGTGAACTTGTTAACTCAAATTCAGTTTGTAGTAGCCAGGCCCATTAAGATGTTTAAACAATATATTTTAAGAAGTCACTCAGAAACCTTTAGGTCTACTTTACTACATGAAATAGAAATGATAGCTGTACTCTGTGGAGAATTTCAAAGAAAATTTTCTCCCATACTCCCACTGAACATTCTCTTTGCTTAAATTTCATTTCCCCAACTTCAGGGATTTTTTATATAGGGCTTTGGAATTTGATTACATAAAATTGGAAAGTCTTTTTCCTAGTCTAACAATTTCTAGGGAGCAAATTAATGACTTAGTCCTTCTGCTACCTTCTAGGATGTCTGTAAATATGCTAGAGGAAAAAAGAATGAAAAACTGGTTTTTGTGAGTGGTCGTGAAATCAATAATTAAACTGAATTTTACTTTCCTTAATGCTTGGTTTGTGGGTAACATCAGAAAATTCTTATTTTCCTATGAATTGTAACCTGTCCTTTCTTAAAACATTTTATACATAGTTGTTACTCTTTTTTGTCTGTCTCACATTCTCTAATAATATCAGATTAACTCTCTTCTGAAGACTGACTGATTGTTGTCTTTGCTTTGGGCTTTCAGGATGAATCTAGAAAAACTCAGCAAGCCCGAACTCCTAACACTCTTCAGTATTCTTGAAGGGGAGCTCGAAGCAAGGGACCTTGTTATAGAAGCTTTAAAGGTATGTTAAGGAAATAAAGCTTGCTTGGGTAGTCTTTTCCTGGATTACTCTGAAATCATAATTGTGATTAAAAATAAAAAATAAAGCCAGTGTATCTCCCTGCTGTTAAATTGGCGTGACGTTGACGTTTTAAGGCATACAGAAAAAGACGGACATTTCTGCCTTAGGGGAGTTATCAGGGAAAACTTGTTTTGTGTCTCCTTTGTAGCTTGCAATGTATGACAAGTAATTTCCATTGGTTTCATTTCTCCAGAGTTTGAGAGACAGTTCACTTCCGATATGGGTAGATGGAGTCTGGCTTATTTTCTTCCTTTTCCTGTCTTCCACAGTCTGGTCTTATTTTCTTCCTTTTCCTGCCTTCCACAGTCTGGTTTCTCTCAGGATTGTTTATTTGTTTGACATATGCCTGGGCACTTATGTTAAAATTCACCACTTGAGTCTTTTCCCTGTCAAGCCACAAAGCATCATGCTGTGGACCTTGGTCAGGTGGCTCAGCATGTCTGGAATAAAGCTTCCTTGTCTGCAGTAAGAATAAATGTTCAGTAACTGGTACTTGTGTTAACACTTCACAATTTGCATGGCACTGCAAATTTACCCAATATTTTTCCCTTTATTTGTGTCCTATCAGTGTATATCACATACAGTCATTGGTTGCTGTCGTTTGAATAAATGTCTGGTGTGCCCGCCATAGTGTTTAATTTGTAATGACTCTCCTGTCAGCAGATAAAACTGTGTGCCTCTGGATGGTGACTCATTTCTGCCACATCCAGACCTTCCCCTTTTGTTATTATCGGTTTCTCTTCCTTTCCCTGCAGGTCCTAAAAACTATTCTGTTCCCCACAAGCCCCTCCCACTATTACTGGTAATCCTAACCTGCCTGTTTAAACTCGGGTCATTCCCTCATTTCTTATCCCACATATATCTAAGCAGTGAAAAGAAAACACAAAGGATTGTGGAGAGTGGTAGGTCTCCCCTAATCCTCCTAACTTACTGGTTACCCCACTTCCCTGTCCATCCGCCTCTGAGACCCCTGACTCTCCTTTCCTCAGACCTCTGCAAAGGCTGAACCGAAATGATCCTTTTCAGAACTCCAGGAGCAGCAGTGTTACCCGTAGCAATCAGATTTTATAAAACTCCAATAGTTTGGCAACATGTGTTAAGTAGATTCCTCTAGGATCGACCCCTATTTGCACAAGGACAGCAGGAAGCAGCTTCCCAGCAATATCACAGTTGCTTCTACACACACTGAGAGACACAAGCCACTCGTACTGGGCTAGGCACGGGGAATAGCTGCTTCTAATGCAGAATTCACAGAATGACCCTTTTTTTCCCTTCGATTTTCAGCCTCAGAAACGATACCAGTCTGTAAAACTTCGTGTGTCTGTTATGCTAAACCCATTCTCAAGCACCTAGCACAGGGCTGCCCATGTAGATGTCAGTGAATATTTGTTGAACAGATGGAATGAACGTGTCGTGGTGGCATGTTGCTTGACAAGATGGCCGTACTGCCTCACAGTGCACGCCGCGGGCCACTAAGGCTTCCCGCCTGTTCCCTCACGCCGTACCCGCTGCGGTCTCTTCAATGCAACTGATGTGTAGGTGCTTGTTGCACATAAAACATGTCCAATTTTTTTTTTTCTGCATGAATCCAATTTTAGTAACTTTAGGCAGTTTCTGACGAGTAGAAAGAGCAGCTTGAGATCAAGAGCTATAATTAAGAGCACATTTTGATAGAAGATACCTTCAGAATCGGGCACAAGTGTTGTATTTAGCCTGCACAAACAGCTTGTGGGTGACACAGTCATCTTCTGCGGCTTAAGCTAATACGCAGTTTAGGTGAGACGAAGAGCTTCAGCAAAAGTGATAGGTCTTTGCACAGTCTATTGTGAGATAAAGTTAGCAGCTGGGAGCAAAATTGCTTCAGTCCTTGGAGAAAATCAACTGCTTTTTCAGATCCTTAAAATTAAAATGATATTCTATCGGTGGGGTGGTTTTGGGGTTTTTGTTATCTTTGTTTTGGCTCTGTGATATATGAGGTTTCACTACAATATTTCTGTAGCTCTGTTCAGCTTCTTGGACTGTGATAGAATATTCTGCCTTCTGTATTGTAATGTCACAGCTTCTTAATTTTTTTCAATTTAGTGTACTTTTTTAAAATTTATGCTTAGTAGGCTGAAAGGTTTTGGTCTTTATCCTAATAGCTGTTTGGCTTTGTCCTATCTGTTTAAGTGAAAAAAGGCTTATCTCTTTTTCCTCCTTACCTTCAAAATAGAATTTTTCTATTGTTCAACCTTGCATTGCTGAACAAAACCATGTGGTTAACTGTTGCTGCTAAATAAATAGCATCAATAAATAAATAGTGTCCTAAATAAATAGGTCATGTTGGCAAGGACTTCGTCTATATTGTGATTTTTTTATAAAGTCCTCATAGTCTGTAAGTAGATCCTACCTATGGAGCTATAATTACAAAAGAGTTTCATTCGTTTTGCAGAAGTTCTGCAAAATGCCAGGTTACAATTGTACCCTTCTGGAGACCACACAGTTACGTTCTTTTTCTCCCCCGTGTATAAAAACCTCTTCATTCTTCTATTGCAGCTGAGAAATGCTTGGTGTAGAGCCAGCTGAGCCAATAGAAATAATGTAATACTCAGCCTTCTATATATTTGAAGTCTGATTGTTATAGAGGCCAAATACTGTATTTGGTCCTAACTGTATAATAGTGAAAACAGTCTTTATGAAAGTCTTTCCCTTTGACCTCTCTGTTGTGAACGAGAACACTACAGGAATCCCCTTTACAGAGAAAGTTCATTGCTCAGGAACTGTCCTGGGGTCTTAGGGCAGAATCACACTGAGCAGAAAGAGAGCCCTCTCACTTTCAAGCCCTCAAGGAGATGATTTTCTCTGACTACTCCAAAGGAAGATGAGGGAACCTTAATCAAAAGCCACTTTTTAAAAGTTGGAAAACAGACTTTGTAGATACTTTATATCTGAGTCTTCCACACTGGGTATATTCTACATGTCTTAGAATATACTGATGCAAAGTAACTTTCAGCTATGACTAAGTAGAACTCACCCTGTATTTAATAGCATCATTTTATTCTAAAGCATTCTTAAAATTGCTTTTACAGTAATAAATGGTAAAGTATTACAATTTCCTTGTAGAATTAGCTTAAGGAGTCTTGAATTCCTTTCCACTGATGCCTTCACCATAAAGCAGGTATAACTCTTTTAAAGTCTAGGGCAGAATTTTGTTGATTTTGGCCAAAGGCCATTACAGAATTCCCTAAGCAAAATTTGCAGACAAAAATGTGTTGAAGACAAGAGTAAGTTAGAAATATATTTAGCATATGAGATTATAATATGTCACTGTATTCATTTAACTATTGTAAATTTTTTAAGCAGTCAGGGCTAAAAATAAAAAAATATAGTCGTTTCATAAGTGTGTTGAAACATTTATTTTTGCTAAAAATATTATTAAGGATCTTATGAATGCCAAATATAAAAACAAAAGTTGTCACGGAAAGAAGGTTCTGTGGCCCAAGAAAAATCACAAGTACAGATTCACTGTAAGTCAAACTTGACATCTGCTGTTAATCATGTACTTGTGCTTCTTAGGGAAGCAGGTTATTGTAAAGTTTGGTCTGAGATAAGGAAGATAAAGTTCAATTTAGCAGTCACCATATGGTGTCCTGTACTCCTAAGACTGTCAGGAGTGTTTACATTAATACAAAAATCAGGTATTAGCTTACTTAACAATAGATGAGTGAATATATTTAAATGGATTCAGAGTGTAAGCACTCCTTGGCACCCACAAATCTGAATCTAGCAGTTCTTTGACCAAGAATGATCCCAATTGGATAGGTTATTTTTAGGATTGAAGTAGGATCTTTGGTAAATTTCACATGAATGTAAGTGATAACTGAAAGAAGTTTGTCGTCTGCCTGGATAAGAACTGGGATATTAGGAAGTAATCAGAGACTTATTCAGGGGATTGAAAAATAAGTTTTTAGTTTTCCATTCAAGAAACTTACTATGAAATACCTTCAAAAGAGAAGCAGTAGCTATTTTGGGCCATATTTTGCTGTTTTTTATATTCCTATTTTCTGAGTAAATATAATCCTACCTTTAAAAAAATAGACACAAAGACAATTACTAGGTATTCTACAAAACCATCAACTAGAATATTCCTAATTAAGTGTAGCTGTTAGGAGAATGAATTTTCAAATCAGACCAACCTAGATTTGGAGTCTGCCATGAATTTGTTGCATGATCTCTGTTATCTGTAAAACAGTTTATTCATTGTGCAGATTAAATAAAATAGCAAATGCTAATCAAGGTGTTCAGTGCTTTTTTTTACTATTAGTATTAGATGTCCATTTAGAAACAAAGGTATACTCATAAAGAAGGAAATACTGATAATACACTGTCTCCCATAGAAAGATGAATCTTTAAATCCTGTCAACTGAGTGTCACAATCCCCCCCTTCCCTACTCCCATACACAACCAAAAGCATATATTTTGGAACAGCCCAGTAGGGTTAAGTATGTCCTCTGGGGCATGGAACAGATGTTATGTTATCTTCCTCATTCCGTCCCTATAATGAAAACAGGAAGTACAAGAACAACGTGAAAAAGTTTTTTAGTACAATTGGTTTTTTTAAAAGATTTATTTATTTATATAACAAGAACGGAGGTACAGGCCAGAGATATGGGGGGTGAGAGGATTCACCAAAGACTGAGTGGGGAGCAGAACAGGCAGATTGAAATATGCTGCTGAGGGGAGCAGCGGGTGAGGCAGCAGAGGTCTGCTGCACCCTGTGGGTCACCTCCCTGTGGGGTATTGAACTCGTACTGCAGTGGCTGTCAGTAGCTCCAAAGTGTGTGGGAACACCTTGCGCCACCAGGGAGGGCCCAGTACAATTGTGGGTTTTTTTTTTCCATTGACTTCTTGGTGTATTTCTCTGTTGTTCGATTTGGCATATTGTTATATTTTTTAACAGC